ATAATTATATATATATATATATATATATACCATTAACAAGAACATTTTGGAGGCTAGCGTGCGTGGGGTTGGATCTCTGGACCAGTGTCCATTTAAGTTAGTCTGTCCACTGACTGTGATGAAAATTAAACTTGTAGTGTCCAGACTGGGAAGTTAACTACTTCTGTTAAGTAGATTCTCCAGGTCTTCACGTACTGATTATACCTTCTCTCCAGGTCTACACGTATGATTTATAGCTTCTGTTTTTACTGTGTACCTCTTTAGATCTACACGTGTGGATTATATCTTCTACTTTTTCCGTGTACCTCTCCAGGTCTAAACGTATGATTTATATCTTCTGTTTTTACTGTGTACCTCTTTAGATCTACACGTGTGGATTATATCTTCTACTTTTTCCGTGTACCTCTCCAGGTCTACACGTATGATTTATATTTTCTGTGTTTTTCCGTGTACCTCTCCAGGTCTACACGTGTGGATTATATCATCTACTTTTTCCGTGTACCTCTCCAGGTCTACACGTATGATTTATATCTTCTGTTTTTTCCGTGTACCTCTCCAGGTCTACACGTGTGGATTATATCTTCTACTTTTTCCGTGTACCTCTCCAGGTCTACGCGTATGATTTATATCTTCTGTTTTTTCCGTGTACCTCTCCAGGTCTACACGTATGATTTATATCTTCTGTTTTTACTGTGTACCTCTCCAGGTCTACAGGTATGTATTATACCTTCTATGTGTTCCGTGTACCTCTCCAGATCTACACGTACGGATTATATTTTCTGTTTTTTCCGTGTACCTCTCCAGATCTACACGTATGGATTATATTTTCTGTTTTTCCGTGTACATCTCCAGATCTACACGTATGGATTATATTTTCTGTTTTTTCCGTGTACCTCTCCAGATCTACACGTATGGATTATATTCCACATGCATCCTCTTGCTTTTCTTCCCTGGCGAATCATGCTCTTATGATGTGATAGTGTTAAGAATTTTAATTACCTCCCATAAACCTCACATTTTGTTGTTCTTGTTGCCTTGGTGACTATACTCTATTAGTTCCTTCAAGAAGGAGTTCTGGCGTGTGTATCGAGTGACTTACTAAAAAAATACCAGTTACAGGTTGACCTTTGTGAAATTAAATTTGGGTTCAGGAAAACGTAACCTCGTTCTATGACGTTGTTCTTGTAGATAGCACTCAACAGAGGTCATAAACCATAGAACTGTAGGTTAACTAAACAGTGCACTCAACAGAGGTCATAAACCATAGAACTGTAGGTTAACTAAACAGTGCACTCAACAGAGGTCATAAACCATAGAACTGTAGGTTAACTAAACAGTGCTATGTTTAGTTAACCTACAGTTCTATGGTTTATTACCTCTGTTGAGTCCTATGTTTAGTTAACCTACAGTTTTATGGTCGTACAATATTCAGTCTCTACCGGTAACCCTAAAATTACCACATCAAGTGTGCTAACGTACAATATTCAGTCTCTACCGGTAACCCTAAAATCACCACACCAAGTGTGCTAACGTACAATATTCAGTCTCTACCGGTGACCCTTAAATTTACCACACCAAGTGTGCTAACGTACAATATTCAGTCTCTACCGGTGACCCTAAAATTACCACATCAAGTGTGCTAACGTACAATATTCAGTCTCTACCGGTGACCCTTAAATTTACCACACCAAGTGTGCTAACGTACAATATTCAGTCTCTACCGGTGACCCTAAAATCACCACACCAAGTGTGCTAACGTACAATATTCAGTCTCTACCGGTAACCCTAAAATTACCACATCAAGTGTGCTAACGTACAATATTCAGTCTCTACCGGTAACCCTAAAGTCAACGCCCCATGTGTGAAACATATCCAAAATCAAACATCTTAACGTCAAAAATGTTCCAAATGATGTCGTTTCATTGCTAGATGCCATGTGGAGATCTTACGTTGTACCTAAACTTAAGCAAGATATACCATCGGGGAGGGGGTATATTATTTTTGTAACTCCGTGTAGCTGAGTGCCAGTTTTGTGGGTATGCGTGACGTATCTTATTAGTATTCAGCGTTTCGCTAATTCGGCAGCACGAAGCTGTATGGTGTTATCTTCTGTTTTGAACACACAGTAAATATTTTAACGCACTATTTCTTTCATTAACAGCTTAATATTTTTTTTTCATTCAGCAACACAGTGGCGTAGGAACATCAGATCAAGACGACGAGCTGAATGACAGTGAAGTGCGAATCGTGCCAATCAATACGTCTTCCTCTGGTGAATTGCATCATCACAGTATCGACCTCTGTCCCACACCCATGATTGTTGCTCTCAAGTTACCCCCTGGAGGTAGTGGGGTGACTACAACCATGTCTCAGCCTAGTCCTAACTCTGAAACGGAAGCCACATTGTCTGTTGAGACGATGAGCACAGCCACTCCATCGCCTGGTAACACGAGTACCTGTCCCATGGTTCGGATATCTACACTTTAACATAGCTGCGGTTCTTGATGTCTTGGGATAGCTAAGAAATGGTCAAGACTGACCGAAGATGAAGACTCAAAGAGTCTGTAATTCCATTGGCTCAATCTGAGGCTGTACAGTGCAGCAGAAGTCTACCAAGGATAATACAAGTCTACCAGGGATAATACAAGTCTACCAGGGATAATACTTCCAATATCCTTGTGTCCCTTTCTGTCGTGTTCTACGTTCTGTTGCTCAAAACGCCGCTTTATTAAACATCAATCAGGGACTTTATGACTAAAATAAAAACAACAACCAAACTGGCCTAGAGAGAAACTAGTCCACAACTGATAATCATTTACTTCAAAACTAGAGTGTTCTACTTACATTAATTAAATGTTAATATTTTTGTTTCTTTCAAATCATGCATGCTTCTAACAGAAGCTAAGTTTTAAACTAAGAATCATGTAGATGCTATTGTACAGTAAAAGGTGAAGAAAATAATTAATAATCCATTAGCTAAGACAATTACAGATAAAACATATCAGTAGGAGGCATCAATCCGGAACAAACTGTTTAACGTCGTTATCAGTGACAATGATTTATTACTCAAGCAGAGAAGAATTAAAACTTTTTTTTATCCTTTAATATAGAACACAGAAAAGTTATCTCTTGTCAGTGTCGGGGATTAATTCCAAGTTTACGGGGATCAAGATAAACTCTGTAATGTCAACAGCTCTTCTTACAGTACCCTAAACATCTATCTATCTGTCTATCTATCTATCTATCTGTCACCTTTCGTAAATGGTTTCTAATGTTGAATTAAATCAAAGTTGAATTAAATCAATTAAATCAAAGTACGAAACCGGCAAAACACGAGAGGTCAAAAAGTAAATAGAAACGACATTACGGGTACGAGCTGACTGAGTATTCCACGTTATTAACGTGGTGAAACCTCACGATGTGAAGGTGTCACGTTATTAACGTGTCGAAACCTTATGATGTGAAGGTGTCACGTTAATAACGTGTCGAAACCTTATGATGTGAAGGTGTCACGTTATTAACGTGTCGAAACCTTATGATGTGAAGGTGTCACGTTATTAATGTGATGGAACCTTATGATGTGAAGGTGTCACGTTATTAATGTGTCGAAACCTTATGATGTGAAGGTGTCACGTTATTAATGTGATGAAACCTCACGATGTGAAGGTGTCACGTTATTAATGTGATGAAACCTCACGATGTGAAAGTGTCACGTTATTAATGTGATGAAACCTCACGATGTGAAGGTGTCACGTTATAAACGTGTCGAAACCTTATGATGTGAAGGTGTCACGTTAATAACGTGTCGAAACTTTATGATGTGAAGGTGTCACGTTATTAGCGTGGTGAAACCTCACGATGTGAAGGTGTCACGTTATTAATGTGTCGAAACCTCACGATGTGAAGGTGTCACGTTATTAGCGTGGTGAAACCTTATGATGTGAAGGTGTCACATTATTAGCGTGGTGAAACCTCACGATGTGAAGGTGTCACGTTGTTAACGTGTCGAAACCTTATTATGTGAAGGTGTCACGTTAATAACGTGTCGAAACCTTATGATGTGAAGGTGTCACGTTATTAATGTGGTGAAACCTTATGATGTGAAGGTGTCACGTTATTAACGTGGTGAAACCTTATGATGTGAAGGTGTCACGTTATTAACGTGGTGAAACCTTATGATGTGAAGGTGTCACGTTGTTGACATAGTTATATTTATATTTATTTTCTAAACCTATATTTTAGTTGTTTTTTTATATTTAGATGTACCTATGCGCGAGGTATATCGACCTTATTTAGTAGAGCTCAAAACTAAATTTGATCAAAACGGTAATTAATAGACATATTGGAACTCATGAAATGTTGTGGAAAGATTTAGACATCTGAAATATACAGTAGGCTCTGGTTAGAGAAGTTAGTGACGATGAAACGGTTATCAAACAGACAGGAATAACTTGTCTTGTTAGAAACTGGAATACCTTGACTTATTATAAACTGGATTATCTTGACTTGTTATAAACTGGAATACGTTGACTTGTTATAAACTGGAATATCTTGTCTTGTTAGAAACTGGAATACCTTGACTTATTATAAACTGGATTATCTTGACTTGTTATAAACTGGAATACGTTGACTTGGTACAAACTGGAATACCTTGTCTTGTTATAAACTGGATTATCTTGACTTGTTATAAACTGGAATACGTTGACTTGTTATAAACGGGAATATCTTGACTTGTTATAAACTGGATTATCTTGACTTGTTAGAAACTGGAATATCTTGACTTGTTATAAACAGGAATATCTTGACTTATTAGAAACTGGAATACCTTGTCTTGTTAGAAACTGGAATATCTTGACTTGTTATAAACTGGAATATCTTGACTTGTTAGAAAGTGGAATACCTTGACTTGTTATAAACTGGAATATCTTGACTTGTTATAAACTGGAATACCTTGACTTGTTAGAAACTGGAATATCTTGACTTGTTAGAAAGTGGAATATCTTGACTTGTTATAAACTGGAATACGTTGACTTGTTATAAACTGGAATATCTTGTCTTGTTATAAACTGGAATATCTTGACTTGTTATAAACTGGAATATCTTGACTTGTTAGAAAGTGGAATATCTTGACTTGTTATAAACTGGAATATCTTGACTTGTTATAAACTGGAATATCTTGTCTTGTTATAAACTGGAATATCTTGACTTGTTATAAACTGGAATATCTTGACTTGTTAGAAAGTGGAATATCTTGACTTGTTAGAAACTGGAATATCTTGACTTGTTATAAACTGGAATTTCTTGTCTTGTTATAAACTGGAATATCTTGACTTGTTATAAACTGGAATACCTTGACTTGTTAGAAACTGGAATTTCTTGTCTTGTTATAAACTGGAATATCTTGACTTGTTATAAACTGGAATACCTTGTCTTGTTATAAACTGGAATATCTTGACTTGTTAGAAACTAGAATACCTTGACTTGTTATAAACTGGAATATCTTGTCTTGTTAGAAACTGGAATACCTTGACTTGTTATAAACTGGAATTTCTTGTCTTGTTATAAACTGGAATATCTTGACTTGTTATAAACTGGAATACCTTGTCTTGTTATAAACTGGAATACCTTGTCTTGTTATAAACTGGAATACCTTGTCTTGTTATAAACTGGAATACCTTGTCTTGTTATAAACTGGAATACCTTGTCTTGTTAGAAACTAGAATACCTTGACTTGTTATAAACTGGAATATCTTGACTTGTTATAAACTGGAATATCTTGTCTTGTTAAAAACTAGAATACCTTGACTTGTTAGAAAGTGGAATACCTTGACTTGTTATAAACTGGAATATCTTGACTTGTTATAAACTGGAATATCTTGTCTTGTTATAAACTGGAATATCTTGACTTGTTATAAACTGGAATACCTTGACTTGTTATAAACTGGAATATCTTGACTTGTTATAAACTGGAATATCTTGACTTGTTATAAACCGGAATATCTTGACTTGTTATAAACTGGAATATCTTGACTTGTTAGAAACCGGAATATCTTGACTTGTTATAAACTGGAATATCTTGACTTGTTAGAAACTGGAATATCTTGACGTGTGTAATATATGTGATGAGTGTTTAAAATTCGAAGCGATGATTACAATTTCTCTCATAAAGATGCAAAATATTTCCGTGATAGTTTATTGTATTTCATTTCGAAAAACACTTGTTTTACCTATCCTTTGGATATGCCTCCTAAAGTACTTGATCTTTGAATATCCAGTGATTTACCAATTTATTCTTACACCACGTTCATATATTACTGTACAACCATGCATAAAACTCTAAAACATTAAGTTTTATTAAATCAATCATTCTTAATATTTAAACATCACTTACGCCAATATTCAATATTACTTAGGCCTATATTAATACCATTTAGCCCTACATTAATATCACTTAGGGCTATATTAATACCACCTAGGCCTTATTCAATATTACTTAGACTTACATTAATATCACTTAGGCCTACATTAGTATCACTTAGGGCTATATTAATATCACCTAGGCCTAATTCAATATTACTTAGACTTGCATTAATGTCACTTAGGCCTACTTTATAAGCTTGCAACATTTAAGGGTGATTTCAAATCATATGCAATTTTAATAAATATGTGTATATTTTGTACTAAGGAAATGCGCAATTGCTCTTGCGTTAAGTTGAAAACATTTGTCTAATACATATATATATATATGTGTATGTTTAGCAAACATGACTTAGGCATCATTAAGGCGAGAGTGCTTTAAAATCTACATTTTGATTTTTTTTAAACCTATTGGCATTTCTAAAAGTCTTCTGGAGCTTTGACCGGAACTGCAAAGTGCGTTCTATGCAATTCGAACCAAAAAACACTTTAGAAGGTTTCACGAGCTGTTGTAATTTCACGCACACTTGTTGCCAGTTGTTAACTGACAAAAGTAATCATTTCCCAGCTTTCAAACTGACAAGGTGAAGCTCAGTTTTGTTTCCTATCACACAGAGGTGAAACAATGTCGTACTTGTGAACATGTTACTGTAAACCTTCAAGTAACAGCCCGAACACCAGTTTATACACACAAACTGTGAGGCTAGAGACTGCAGTGGATCGGACATAGCATCCCTTAGTTTCAAAGTGGAAAATCTAGAGACTGCAGTGGACCGGGCATAGCATCCCTTAGTTTCAAAGTGGAAAATCTAGAGACTGCAGTGGATCGGGCATAGCATCCCTTAGTTTCAAAGTGGAAAATCTAGAGACTGCAGTGGACCGGACATAGCATCCCTTAGTTTCAAAGTGGAAAATCTAGAGACTGCAGTGGATCGGGCATAGCATCCCTTAGTTTCAAAGTGGAAAATCTACCAGCTGCCTGAAGCGGCTACTCTTAAATTAATATTAGTATTAACATTCACTCCTATAACACACCCACAGCTAAAATGACAAGCGAGTTTGGTAGCACCACGTCTCGAACCTTAGACTCTCGGATTTCCCGTTTGATACTAAGCCATCCTTGGGTCCAGGAGGAACGAAGACAATCCCTGTTGTATAAAAAAATAGCGGGACTCAAATTATGTTATGCACTTTAATGTAGAGCAGGAAGCAAGTTGTACAGTTTCAAATATTTAAACAAGACCAAAGTTACTGGTCCATTTACAGTGTACTTTATCCAAAATCTCTTAATTGTACAGAGTATAACATTTGTGGATATCAGTTCTAAGAAAAAAGAAAGATTTTTATAAATATATTATACTAAACTGGACTGTACGGGGAGATCTTCAAGATTAACTAAAATAAAAAAAAAACTAAACCACTTTGCATTAAGTTAAAAGAGATTTTAAACCTTTAACACAGATGTTCGCGTTCCTAGCGTTTAGAAAATGCATTTGAAATGAGATAAAAGTAAGACAGTTTTAGTCCTAACTGTGGATATAAATATAACTTTGGGTCACTTTAATAGATGTTCGGGAAGCACCTGGTTCGAGAATGTAATAACTGCGTAATGTATCAAATTCGTTCAAGAAACTTTTATTAACTTGTATTTAAAGTGTATATCCTAACTAACTGATGCCTTTTAAAAG